CATCTTGAATAGTCCATTTTACAGTTGTGTGCTTGGTTGCCAAATCTTTCAGTGGGAGTGAGGCTAAGGGTGACCTTGTTATGATACAAATCTTGCTGTTTTTCAAATGTAAATCACTTTGTTATCATGCTAACTAGATACAGGTCTCTTTCATGACAAGGTCGCCTCCAGCCTCACTCCAAATCAAAGGCTTGGCAACTAAGTACACAACTCTAAATTGGCCTATTCACTATTTCACCTTAGTCGGTTATGAGAAATGGCAAAAAATCAGTGCAAAATCAAGCCAGAAAGCTTAAATGTAACCATGCACATGTACCAAAGGAATCGATTTTGTAATTTCGTGTTGAGAAACTAGAAGAATTATGTTTAAAATGTCGAATTTTGGGGACAGTTGACACCTTAAAAAATTCCGCAAACTATAAACCAACAGCTGCTTAAAGTTTCAGCAACAGCGTAAATCCCCTTTCCAAAATTTGCAAAATCTGAGGGGGGTAGCATCCAACCTTTTCTCACTTCATTTACAATACCCTGAGGGGGTGGCATCGAACCTCCTTACCCCTACCCCACCCCCCCCACACACACACACACTCACTCACAAACACACACACACACACACACACACACACTTCATATCAGAGGTCAAAGGGTATGTATTTTTCGCATCGAGATATCAAGAATTACAAATTCAGTCCTTCACCAGCCTTCCCCTCGGGTAGAATACCGCCCTCCCCGCTGATGCGGAGAGGGCGGTATTCTACCTGAGGGGCAGGCTGGTGAAGGACCTCTGTCTTTTTGAGGCTGACCTCAAGGCCAAACAGCTGCGAGCCATCTACAAAGCATGATGTAATGCGCTGACGAGCTCGCTCAGTGTGAGCAACAAGGGCAGCGTCTTCCGCAAAGAGAAGATCTCGTATCAGCCTCTCCTGGGTCTTTGTGTGAGCACGGAGTCGCCGTAGATTGAAGAAACTACCATCCAGAGCTGCTATGTCGATGTTAAGGCGAGAGAGTTCGTGAGCCACAAGGGCTGAACGGCGTTCCGGACGGTTGCTGTTAGCCGTGTCGAGCATAGTCCTGACGTTCCAACAGGCAACGTTCAAGACCTGTTTTCTTTTCTTTGAAGATTTCAATCTTGGTCGGCCGCAAGATAAGATGCCCGTTGACCGCGGCTAGCCAACTGGGTGGTGATCAGAAGGCGAATTTTCTTTAGTCGAACCTTTTCTATCGCCCCTCTCCATGTGGAGCAGGCAGTGCTCTCCCTGAATAGGGCTGCCTGGTCGCTCAGGATGCTGCCGAGTGGTGTCGTCGCCTCCAGGTCAACAACCAGGCGACCATCTGTCCTGAGCCGCTTGCATGCAGGATCGGGACTATGGCTTCCAGTGACATCTTCCACTTATCACTTTGGCCTCTTTCCCATCGCTGCAAGGCTTGGAATGGTTGGACGCAGAACGTGGACGTGTCCTTCGGCCTGCGCTAAGGATTTTTTGGTCAAGTACAGAGTGCGCAGACTGGCCCCACCCTTTAAGCACGAGCTTCATCTGCCATGGCCTAGCAAGCTGGGACAATGACAGCGAGGTCCTCGGACCTTAGGTTTTACTTCGGAGTTTTCGTCTCCTAGGTGGGTTGCCGACTAAGGCTATTGAGCCCCACCTGCCCGTGGGTTTGTTATCGGAGTTCCCATCTCCTAGGTGAGCAGCCTTCCATGGCTGACAAGCCCCACCTGCCCGGAGCAAGTCTGGTTATACTGCGCCAGGCACCCGCAGTCGTCCTCTCCTTTTAGTTGGAAATCCAGGGGGCATCACGAGGAGGTTGGAGTGGGTCTCGAGGTCTGCGCCACTCAGAGGATGTTTTAGGCCAAGCCATGGTGCTCACTCATAACCGGCATCCAGTGACTATGTGGACCTCCATTTGCCCCCTCGCATGAGATCTAGTTACTCATAGAATTACAATGTTCATGCAAGACTATTTTCTGTCATACATTACCTTTGAAGCCAACATGTTTATCATTAATCTACCATGGGTTTGATTCTTGTTAAATGTCTCGCTCTTGGTCAAAATTTTCCTTTACAGCTTGGTTTTGTATTTACCCATTGCCATTTTGAAAGATTGGAATAACAATCAGCATAAGCTTATGCTCTTTTTTCCTTCCTGCTACGGGTCATCCAAATTTTCAAAATTTAGACATTTAGTCTTGCTTTCGTATAGAACGAAATAAACAGCGCCCCAAGCTCTTACATGGCTTTCGCTGAAACTGTATATCCTCTGGTGGCATAGGTAAGTGTGGCCAACGCCCGATTGTGTTTCATCATTGCGAATAACAGGAATGATGAAACCAAAATATACCTCTCTTGAAGCCGTAAAAAGTAATTCTAATTAATACCCAACTACACTCCGTAGAGTACAAATAACGCCATAGACGAGTACAAATATCACGCGGTATTTGTACTCCAGAGAACTAGTTAGACAGGTTTTCTCGCATCGCGCAAGCGAAGAATTGGATTGAAGACCATTGAAGTTACGAAAAACAAATGGCGGACAATTTTAATCATATTTCTGACGACGAATAGTCGGAATGGCGGACAAATATAAATCCAAGTTTAGTAGATGAATCGAAGAAAAAAGCAGGACGACCAGGAAATTTATTAATTTTTTAAAGAAAGGAGAAATAACAACACGACAACGCGCGCCAATTCCGATTCGCTTCGCATACTTCTGTCATGTTCTCCCCGTAAATAAATATCCACGAAATTCGCCCGCACTGAAATAACAATTTGACGCGTTGGATAATCGCAATTTTGAATTTCAGTTTCATGCTCAGGTACTGAAATGTGTGAAAAATAATTCGTCATCGTCTGTCCGAAGCTCGATAATGACGTCGCTCTTAATTTTTGCATGATTCAGTTATCTGATTCCCCAAAGTATTGACCAGACTCCTTCAAACTAACACGTTCAAAGGTCCCTGACAATCATATAACTATTTGCCAAAACTGATTGATATTGATTCATTTTTAATTAACTTACCAACGGAGCGTGAGTTGTTCATGATGAAATAGTGAGCTTTCAGTAGATTATTATTATTTCCCTTGTAAATACGGACTCTCACAAAGCTGTCCATCACCAAAACTGCCAAAGGCACCTTTTTATAGCGGTCCAGCCACTTTGTTTCTCTCGCACTTCTGATATAAGTCCTAGACGTTAACGCCAGTGAAAAATGATAAATGATTATTAAATTTGCGCTAAACCACGAAACCGGCTCTTGAGCCTGTTAACAAGCTCCCATACAGGTAAGCGTAATGGCAAGAAAACAAGTCCGCGATATTGACCTACATCGGTATATGCTCCCTTACAATAAACTAAGAATTTCAAGTCTTACCAGGCTTCATTAGGTTGGTATTCTTCAAAAAGAAGGAGGATGCTGGAGTTCACAACCGGAGATCGAATCATCCAATTACAAGTTCTATGATAATAGAACTGGGATCCACTGTTTATACCGAGTTCACCTGATGGCTTATCAAAGTTCTGTCCACACTCTGAAACAAAGGACTGATCGTGTTGGGCCTCTTCCTTACAGTGATGTATTCTCAGATATTCCTTAAATCATGAGGTCAAGGAAACGTGACCTGAAAACTACCAACGATGCCTTTTGCGGTTGTCGCGTGTACTTTTTCCGACAACCTTTCTGCAAACAACTGTATATATACATAGATACTTACACGCATTCATACTTTCATTCAAAACTTTATTATAACGTAAGGCGCGTGCAAAGCCTACCTATTTCTTAGGAGCTACTAAGGTTAAATTCTTGTGTAGCGCACGCCGTGCATCCATAACATGACGTGTGGGGTTTCACTTCGGCTGAAAGTTCCCGTCGACTTTAGCTGCGAGGTTTCAAAACTTTTGAGATTGTTTTTCCGTTCTGTCTAAGAAGTGTTCTATGGAAGATTTTGCTTTGAAATCGTATAATTTTCAAAATTTTCAACTCAAACGACGCGAATTTCTGGTCGTACATTCTAGTAAACAACGGTTCAAGGAGAGTAAAATCTACCTCACGGGTCTCGTAAAAGCAACAAATTTGTAAGTTTTTCACTTTTTATTTCGAACGGCTGATACTACTTTTAAGCGTTGATATTTCGTAAAATTATTTTCCGTGCAATTTTCTGGCCGTGATTTCTAGGGATTAACGATTCGAGCGTGCTAAACTTACTACATTGTCCTGCACATGCAAAGAATTTTTGCCTTGCCCTTTAATGATAGTTTTCGGGTACAGATCACGGTTACTGAGTTAATACTTAAAAAAGGAGTTCGGTTTTCGCGTGCAGTTTTACGCGCAATTCCCTCGTCATGAAAAGAATTCAGTTCCTATTTAATTTCCC